TGTGATCCTGGTCAGAGCAGTCAGTGGTGGTAGCTGGGCTCCATCTAGCTGTACTGGACTCAGTCTGGTGGAGGCCTTGGTAGCTGTGGTCCATTAGTCCCAATTAAGTTGTGTTTTGTCGATTTCTTTACAATGAGCTTAAGATTCTGTTTATGATACTAAGATGTGTTATTATTTAAGGCAGAACCAAGTTTCACAAGTGGTCTTTTAAATGGAAATTTAAAGTAGCATTCTACACTACTACAAAGGGACTGCAAGGAGATCATAATATTGTCAAGTATGGTTTACTTGGCCCTAAAACTGCCTCTTATGTTGAATTAGTTCAGTCTTAGTGTTTTGGGTATCTTTAATACTGATTTTAGAATGATTTCGTTCATAGCTTAGATTTTTTAAGCTAAATCTTTAAAATAATTTTCACATTTTTAACGAGGTGACATGAAATGATTGAATTGAAAATGGGAAATGTAAACAGAGGAGATTGATCTAGCTTTTAAAAACGAAACAGTGCAAGTTCGTTTAGTTTTTAGTTCCACCAGCCATTATACATAAGGAATGTAAAATTGCTTTAACGTCATTTTTCTGGAATGCTTTTAGTTAGAATAGTGAATTATCTTAAAGTGTTCTTAATTTCTTAGCAAGACATACTTAACTGCACTATTAAGAGTTTACATCTACTTATAAAGTCTATTCCAGTCTGTTTTCAAGTCAGGCTGTTACCTTTTCTAATATGAAACCTTTTCAGAAGATTCCCATCTTACACCTGTTGCTGTCAAGTCAATTACAACTCATAGGGACCCTATAGAACAGAGTAGAACTGCCCCATAGGGTTTTAGTAAGTTTTTTCTTCCTGCGTGCCCCCAAATCACCTCAAAAGGAATTCAGTCAGGTTGATACATTTGATAACAGCAGCTTACAGAAGTTCATTAAAATAGATTGTGTATTCCATGGTCACATTTTATTCTTAAATTTCATTTTTCCTTACATTTCTAGTGGTCTTTATAGACTATTTTCCATTTTTGCCTTTTGTATTACATAAATGATAATCTCTAGAGGTTAGAAGTAATGAAACTTCTGTTTGTAAATTGCATAAGAATGTTATATGTCCTTATTAGTAAACTATTGGCCAATTATGTTGATGGAAGAAAGGGGATGTTAATTTTTTTTTTTCCTTTCTAAAACTGAATGAGGAATAATTATTGTCTAAGCACTATGAGTCGGAATCAACTCCACGGCAGTGGGTTTGGTTTTTTTGTTTGTTTGTTTTAAGCACTGCAGAAGTTTTTTTTAGAAATGGGTGGGGTGATGGGCAAGCACATGACAACATGTAGGAGTTTTATTTTTCCGTGTATCCCCTCAAGAGGATTCAAGACAATTTGGAACTATATATTCACTTCTATAACCTCATACTTTATTGTACATCATAAGATACTCTAATTTCACACAGGTAAATGTGGTTGTTGCTTGATTTTCATCCTAGATTCTTGTTACAAATAAAAAGAACACTTACTTTTAAGTGTTAATCATTTATGTTTTCAAAATACCGTATTTTTTCCCCAAATAATGCACCCGCACATATAATGCGTGGAAATGACTAAATTAAGTAAACCAGTTCTGGCTTAGCGTGCTCATGCGTATACTGCACACGTCTCATGACATTTCCAGAAGTGAATTTTGACCTCGTTTACCCATCGTCCCATGTTACGGGTAAATCATATTGTTCCCTTCATTTTCTTTTGTTCTGTTCATTTTCTTTAATCTACTGCTTATGCCTATGAAAATAGTCTAAAAATATTACTTTTGATCATAATTTTATAATAAAGGTATAAGCCATGGTTAACAAGTCATGGATTGAGTTTGGTAGCCCCTGGTAATTGGAAAATAAACAGTTAAAACTGCATGTTTGTTTCTGTTAATTTAAGTTGATAATTATAGCACGTTAGCGCAACAGTTGGATGCAAAAACCTTATCAGATTGTCTTAAGTGTAACTGTTAGGTTATGTTTAGGTCTGCTTATTTCATTGTTTAATCATGTCTTCTTAGTGTCAATTGAAGTCAACACCATGTAAAAACAAAAATGGCATAGCTAATGGGGGGATTGCATGGTTGGTCTAAAAAAAATGCATAATGCACATGTTATTTGCAAAAAATACAGTAGTTTCAGGCAAAATTATCTATTGGGTTGTATTTACAATGTGCTAAGCCAGCTGTTGGAATTCACCAGCTGCTCCTTGGAAACCCTGTGGGGCAGTTCTGCTCTGTCCTATAGGGTCACTATGAGTTGGAATCAACTCGATGGCAACAGGTTTGTTTTTGTTTTTTTGTTAAGCCAGCTAAGGAAAGGTATATTTGGGCTAGTGTTAGCCACTGCAGTGCTGAAGTATTATTTGGAACTCTTTCATAAAGGGGACAAGTTCATTTTTTCATTTTATCTTTGGGGTAGCCATTAATCAGTTCCCAAATAACTGTGGGTCATTAAAAAATGTTTTTCTGTTCCTTTTTTTCCCTTGCCTCTATTTTGATACTGTTCGTAACAAAGTACAGCAGAGAATAGTTTTAACATTTCTGAACATTTTACCTATAGCAGATTAATAGAAAATACTGTCAGAACAGATTTATTTGAATTTTATTCTAATTGTAATGTAGTCGGAAAAAGTGGTATCTAGTGTACAAAAGGAATCCCTCAGAAATTTACAGTTTAAACCACATCACACATTAGTTATTAAATGTACTGTCCAGTGTAAGTTGCTTCTCAAAAAATCATTCGTAAGCTGGTTATCTAGAACTCAGCACATTTTCATCCATTCATTTAATAAATATTAGAGATCTGTTAGGTATTATAAAAGAAGACAAGGATGGGGTAGTATCTTACATTTCAATATGGGAGAAGGTTGATTTTAGAGAAGTTACAAAGAGATGTATAATTTATATATTGTAATTAGGCACCCAAGACAGCTTTTAAAAAAAAAACATTTTACTTACTTATTAGTGGCAAAATAAAAAAATTTAGGTGTTTGAGATTTTTTGAAGAAAAGATTTAGAAATAGATGAGAATCATCATATGGGCAAGTTAGTCCTGCCTGGGACTTTAGTTTCCCAGTGTTTTGTGCAACAGACTTATGCATTCTTAAAGATACCTGTGACATTTTGCACATATTTCAATTTCCCAGTAAATTTTATATTATAAATTATAAGAAAAACTTGAGCAACAGAAATAAAATCACATATATTGAATCATGAATATACTTAATAGGAAGATTAATTTAGGTCAGTAATAATTGTATGATATCTTGCAAAACAAAAATACCAGAAGCTGGTATCCTCTTTGTGAGTTGATGAAATCTCTCCTTTGAAGGTGTGGCAAACAAAACAAGTACAAGTTGTCAGGAGGTTTAAGGGAAGAAGCAATATAGTAATTATAGCTGGCTTTGTAATTTCTTCCCCTCCCGAAAATGATACGATACAGAAATCGTTAAGCAGTGTTTATATAGTGATTATGACTTCGTAAAGCCAAATAGCAATGAATTATTTTCTGGAGCAACAGAAGGATATCCAGGGCTTGAGAGATCTTTAAATAATATTGAAAAGAAGAATCAGTTATGATTTGCTGTTTCTAGCGCATTAGCTTTGAAGAGGCAGAAAGTCTTAGCCAACGTAGGTTGAATGGATCCTCTTCTGCTTGTCCTTAGATATTATATAGGTAATATAACTTGCTCTGTGACCTTAAGTATGTTACCCCTTGTGCTCTTACATATACATCTTATTGCTAAAATGTTGATTTGTAATTATTTATCAGCACTTAAAAATAAAATAATTAAAACTGGAAAAGTCAGGTGGTGGTGGTAGTAGTAGTAGTAGTAGTAGTAGTAGTAGTTGTTGCCTTTGGTCACGTGATCCCATTGTGGGAGGAAAGCTCTTGGAAAGACATCAAGTCAACCTTATGGGAAATCTAGAGAAGCTCAGGAGATAATTAGCCTTTGTTCTCACAGAAAGATTCAGTGTAACTTAAATATTTCTCCCCCCCAGAAAAAAACAACTTTTTTTTTAAGCTATATACTTGAGACAAGGTTTTTTGGCTTTGGAAATAAAATTTTTTAACACATTTGTTTGGCCCAACACATCATAATGGGAAAAGATGCCTTTTTTACACGTGTGGGGCTAGACCTTTTTGTTTTAGGCATTAAAATAAGACTAGTTGTTATTAGCTACTATATAATAATTTTTGGAAGCTTACGTTTCATGAAGTAAATCACATAACTGATTAAGTTCTGTTAAAAGAGTTGCGATTTCCCCTGTGCATATGCCCTTTACCACACGTGTATTTACGTTTGGCAGTGCTCTGTTAGCTGCAGGAGGTTAATGCCAGTTTAGGAAACCCTTTTTAGGGATAAGGTTTGCTGAGGATAGTTTACTAGAAATTTGCTGCTTTCTCTACATCATGTGAATAATTTTAAATTTTAAATTCTATCACATATTTTCCAGTGATAGAAGTCAAAGCAGTGTTGAAGCTTATTAACATGATCACTTCAATTTTGAACACTGTGAAACTTTTTGTTAGTATTACTTAACATACTTAAAACTGAGCTCTTAATTTTTCTACCCATTCCTTCCCCAACCTTCCCAGCCTCAATAAATGGCACCATTATTCACCAGCTCCTCAAGCCAAAATATCTAGGGGGCATCCTTAATTCCTTCACTTCCCGTATCCCTCACTTCCATTCTATCAGCCTAGCTCTCCTTTATCTCCAGAGATATTGGGCATCTGTCCAGTTCTCTCATCTCCTAACCTAGTCTTCTGCAGTAGCCTCTTAACTGGTGTTTCTGCTTCCACTCTGGTCATCCAATTATGTATTCTTCACCCTACATCCAGGCTGGTCCTTTTAAAATGTGTATCAGATCATATTTACCCCAGGTTAAAATTATGAAATGCTTCCCATTACACTTAATATAATATCCAAACTCCTTATGATTGCCTCTAAGTCTTGCATGATCTTGGCCCTGCCCATCTTCTCTGATCTCACCATGTACCTCCCCAGTTCTCTAAGCACTAACCAAGCTGGCCTTCATTCTGTCCCTTATGCCAAGGCATTTCCTGCCTCAGGCCTTTTGTACTTACTATTTCCTCAGTTTAGGGTTCTGTTGGAGGCTCCCTGAGTGGCGCAAGTGATTTGCGCTTGACTACTAACCTAAAGGTTGGCGGTTCAGACTCACCCAGTGGCTGTATGGAAGAAAGGCCTGGCAATCTGCTTCCGTAAAGATTACAGCCAAGAAAACCCTATGGAGCAGTTCCACTCTGTAACACATAGGGCTGCCATAAGTCAAAATTGACACTACGACAATAAGTTTGGGTTTTTTTGGTTTCAAGTGCTTTTTATTTGACTGTCTCCTTGTTTGGGTCTTGCTCACATGTCACCGGCTCAGAGAAGTCTCCTGAACCTCCTCTAGCACATCATTCTTTTTAGCACCCATTTGAATCTGAAATTATTTTGTTTGTTTAATTACTGTTATTGTCTTCCCCTTTCACCTGTCATTAGCCCTGTGAGAATAGGAACCATGTTGGTGTATTTAACTTCCACACCTTCAGCATCTGAAACAGTGCTTGATACATAGTAGGTACAGAGTATGTATTTGTGAAAGAATGAACTACTTTTAACACTGTATTGATTTGAATTTCTGCTATATCATCCCATTTTCTGGTGAAGATTCCAAGGAGTTCAGAGTGGCCAGTTAGCAGAGAGGAAAATAAACCTAGCAAAACTAGAATTGTTAGTAAATCATCTATTGGCTGTGCTCTTAGAATAATATTTATTAAGAAGCTCTGCTTACTTTTTTTCCCATTAAAACAATGTGTGTATGCCAATATAAATAGATCTACACATGTTATTTTATTCTTCTGTAAACTTCTTGGATGTGGATTGTTGTTGTTAGGTGCCATTTTAGTCGATTTTGACTCATAGCAACCCCATGTGATGGAGTAGAACTACCTGGTAGGGTTTTCTTGGCTGTTCAAACCCACCAGCCGCTGCTCTGCAGGAGAAAGATGTGGCAGTCTACTTCCATAAAGATTACAGCCTTGTAAACTTTATCAGCAGTTCTACTCTGTTTTATAGTGTCGCTATGAGTCAGTTAACTCGACTGCAACAGGTTTTATCTTTATGAAAGCAGATCATCAGGTCTTTCTCCCGCAGAACCTATGGGTAGGTTTGAACTGCTAGTCTTTTGGTTAGCAGCCAAGCACTTAACCGTTTGTACCACCAGAGGCTCCTTAGGGTGTGGGCCGGTGGTAATAGTAAATTGTTTCATGGTTACTTCCCTGAGTTTACCTGATATTTTGATGCCTTAGATTTTGTCAACATTTATTCCACTTAGGAAGTAATTTTTTTTAAAGAACAAAACACTATTTTGCTGCTACTGTTACTCTCATCCAGGTTTTTATAGTGTTACTGTGAAGGCTAGAAGTGGGTGGGTCACACTGAGTACCTCATTATACAATGAAGAAATAGAGTCATGAGAACTCATTCGCTACTGACTTACTGAATATACCACGTTTAGATAGTAATGAGTACCAAATTCTGCTGACTTCAGTCCATCCTTCTCTAGCCTTCTCTCCTCTACTGAACAAGGGCCTGTTCCCTGCAACCTAATGAAATACCTCTCCTTCTATTTTATTTCATGTGTCCAGTTTAAAGGCTTTGTACTTCCCAAAGCTCAGCATGTTTGTTTATAAAACTTAATACTCTTGTGGTTTTGCTTTTAAGATACTGAACTATTAAAATTATGTTGATAAGTTAAGATACTTATTTTTTATTCTGTATAGCCAGGAAACTAAAATGATCAATAGCAAGTAAGAAGTACCGTTTCTCTAGTTTTGAAATAATTTCAAGCCTTTTCTGTTGTGATTTATATTCTACTCCTCTGGTGTTTTCTAACTAAAGTATTTCTCATTATATAGGTTACTCACTATAAACAGTACCCACCCAACACAAGCAAGGTTTATTCCTACTTCGAATGCCGTGAGAAGAAGACAGAAAATGCCAAAGTAAGGAAGGTGAAGTACGAAGAAACGGTATTTTATGGGTTGCAGTACATTCTTAATAAGTACTTAAAAGGTATTACTTTTCCTAGTACATTTTAAAACACTCCTTTTATGTAACTCTTCATAATTTTTCTCCTATATTATTATATTCTGTTATTTGAAGTAACTTTGAGTAGTCTAATTTTTATATTTAATGAATAAAATGATAATTTACTTAATTATAACTACTTTAGGAGTTCTTTGGGAAAAAAAAGTTTAGCCTGTTAACTTGATTGCATTAAATATTATAATTCAGGATATGTGTTTGGTATTCTAAATATCAGAAATACCAGATTTTCTGAGATTGATAAGTTTTGGAATAAGTTTAGAAAAGTCAGTAATTTTCTGAGGCTAATCTGGTTAGCTAATAGACTTTATTCATTAATGGAAGGTAAAGGATTTGTTATTGACTTGGGAACTCATTTTGAACTATGGTAGCAGTTATTACAAAAATATTAGAATATTTTTATACTAGTTAGTTTTACCTTAAAAGCCTGTGTTTCAAAGCTACATATGATGTAAACTTAGTCTCAAATGCATTTTAAAGCAGAAAAAAACTCCAGATTCATTTCTATGCTTTTTGTTTGTTTGTTTGTTTTTCTAGTTTATTTGTAATAGTGTTTCTAGGGGGGAAGAGTCCCTAGCATTTTTATACATCTTAGAAAATTTCATCTCTAACCTTTTCATATAAAAATAACCTCAGAATTAAATACAGATTGAGTTTTGAAATACGAATAATAGCCCTTTTCTATAATCTTGCAATTTTAAGACCAGGCAGTTCAGAAATGTTATACTATAAAAAGCTTAGCTAGAAATCAAAAGTACTTCTGTGCAGCAAGGCTAACCAAGATGTTTTGAACGAAGTATCTAGTTTATCTTATCTAGAGAGAGTTAACAAAGATTAATGGCACACTGTAATTCACTTCTGCAGCTTTAAAAACTTAGTAAAATATTATTTATTATTAATTATAGCTAACATCTATTGATTGTCTCATATTTGCCAGGATCCCTGGTAGTGCAGTTGTTAAGCGTTCAGCTGCTAATCCAGAGGTCAGCAGTTCAAATCCACCAGCCGCTCCTTGGAAACCCTTTGGAACAGTTCTACTCTGTCCTGTAGGGTCGCTATGAGTTGGAATTGACTTGATGGCATCAGGCATCAAGTTTTTACGGGTTTTAACATATGGGCAGCACTATGTAAATGCTCCTTTGTCTTAACTCATTTAGTCCTCACAACCACCCTTTGAGTAGTTACTTCACTATTGTTATTCCCATTTTACAGATAAGGAAGTTTTGAAAATTCTCATTTGCCAACCCTGAAGACATCTTTTATTTTAATCACAAAGGAGTACAGTTTTTTCCCATTTAGGCCTATCATTGTACCTCTCTGGTATTAGAAAGGACCACAGTCACCGTTTGGCCTCTAAATGCCTGTTAAGGGTGGCGGTTGTTTTAGTTTAGTGGACATCTGTCTCAAAAACAGGACTGAATCCAATAGTTTCTGTCAATGGATTATCAAATATTATCAGTGGCACATGAAATGAGGAGCTAACGTGTGTTACGTAAGGGTGCTTTTCTGTCCTGTGCCGAATATCATGCTAGGGGTTTTACATGTAATGCGTAATTTAATTCCCACAGCAAACCTATGAAGTACGCGTACTTATCCTTATTGTATAGATGAAGTGTTAAAGAATTTGCCCTAATCCTCTACTTAAGCCTAGGTACAATGTCCTTTTGTTTTGTTTGTTGAACTAAACCTTGCTATTAGATCAGTTGACCTGTAGTATGAGCATTACCTGAATAACATGAGAAAGTTCACCTGGAAAAATGTAAGAATTTGAGCTTTTGAGTTAATCTGTGTTAAAGGCTTTCTCAAACTTGAAGAATATGTAAATAATAGAGATAGAACAGATATCTTCTAATATTGAGTTAATTTACTGTTGATTTTTAAGAGTATTACGCATTTAATAAAAAAATTTTTTCTACTACATATCTGCTTTTAAAATAAGAAATTGACATTTATGCTTAGAGTGAGTGATTGGAATTTAGAAGTGCTGATTCCTTTTCTGGCTCTGCGGTTGACTGTGGTTATGTCATTGAACCTCTTAGTTCTTATATTTTCATCCATAGAATGGGTGAAATAGCTAGAGACATTAATTCTATGACAGGTCTACAGCACACAATGCCTTTAGAGTGTAAGCAAGAAATGTTTATCATTTTAGGTAAAGTAGTGACCAAAGAGAAAATCCAGGAAGCCAAAGAGGTCTACAAAGAGCATTTCCAAGATGATGTCTTCAATGAAAAGGGGTGGAACTACATTCTTGAGGTAAGAAATGGTTTCATGTTTTAATCTGTTTTTGTTTTTGCTTTTAGTTCAAAATTTCTCACAAACAAATTTGAATAGAAGATTAGACTATACTTATAACTCTTTTCTGTTTGTGACCTGAATATAATGGCTATTTTAGACATTGTTGTGAAAAGCTATGGGTAACATTTAATAAATTTGTTTTCTGTGACAAATCATTAGCAAATCTAAGTAGTTTGTTACAAACAAATTATAATTTAAATAACTAGGATTTTTCGGAAGGATGATTTTATCATTTCTTTGAAGATACATAATACATTATAACTATGAAAGAGCATGGTTATTTGGCTATTTCGAAATTTAGGTCTTTTTCCTTGACTGTAGATTATCTAAGAAAATAAGTGCTGTGAGTCTGTCACTACACAGTAATTCTGAGAAATTTCCTCACTGGATAGGCAGAATGGTTTGGTACAGATCCATTTTTATCCCTTGTTGTACTGTAATATTCATATGTAGCATGTTTGGATCTAATGCTTGAACTTCTGGGCATCCAAAGAGATGGAAGTTGAATTGTAAGAGTTGAATGTCTGCTGGTGGTTTTCTTTATTATAAACATAGATTCGGAATGTCGTGGAAACTGTCATAGAAACATGCTGTTAAGTATCAAGTTATATCTTAAAAATGAAAGCTTTTTCCTTTTAAAAACTGTCAAACACAAAATAATTTAAAATACTTTGACTTTCATGCCCATATTATAATATTGAGCTTTACTACTTGCTAATTATGGGCCTTTGAAGAAGTCAGCTAAGTACTCTGTGCTGCACTTTTCCCAAGTTTTAAGTAAGGTTAGTAAAATCTGTTGACTAATTTCCTGTACTTGCACCATCTCCCTTTTTTGTGAGGTTTGTTGTGAGGATTAAAAAAAAAGCCGTTGCCATCGAGTCGATCCCAACTCATAGCGACCCTATGGAAGAGAGTAGAACTGCTCTATAGGGTTTCCAGGGAGCACCTGGTGGATTTGAACTGCCAACCTTTTGATTAGCAGCCATAGCTCTTAACCAGTTCGCCACCAGCGTTTTATTATATGTTCAGAGAATTTTAGAGATTCATAGAGTCTCTGGAGATAGTCTAGTCTAACCCTATTTTACAAACATAGTGTCTGAGACCCAGAGATGTTAAGTGACTTGCCCCAGGTCCCCCTGCCGGTTTTCAGTCCAAGCCAGGACTTCAAAGACAGTATTCTTTGTTAAACCGTGATGCCTCCAGTGCCTCTCATTAAACAGATTTTTCTTTTATTTAATAATCTTGTTCTGCATCCCATAAATAAACTATTAAGATTCCTGAAACAACTTACCTTCTTTAGCCAAAAGCTAGCCATAGTATTTTAACTTTAAAAAAAAAAAAAGAAGGAGCACATAATTAAGTATCTGGTAACATAACATGTAGCAAATACATCCTGAGCCTAATTTTGGAGGGAATCGTTGCATTAATAAGAAGTCAGTTAAATAAGACTTGGGTGTTGTATGCCAGGGCTCTAGAAAGTATAATTATGATTGACCCATCTCATAGTTTGAAGTCTGCTAACAGAATAAAACGAAGCCCTATTTAAGGTTGTTGGCAAAACAAAAAGTAGCAGGGATTTCTCTTTGTTTTTTTGTTCGTTTTGCTCTCTAGTAGCAATCCCTTCTTTATCAGTTTAAATTCAGCCTTTCTTTTACAAAAATCCTGTGGGGCAGTTCTACTCTGTCTTATAGGGTCACTATGAGTTGGAATTGACTCAACCACAACGGGTTTTATGAAAATGGCCTATTAAAAGAAAGAGTTATCGTGGAATACTTTTGGAATGTGTTAGAAGAAACTCATCTTTTTTTTTTTTTTCTGAAGTGGGGGGACTTTTTCTTTAGATCAGTATGAAATTATGTCCCTCTTCTAGTGATGTATGTTCTTAACAGAAGTTCTTTGACAGCATGAAGTTTGAAAATTAATATCAGAGCTTAAGCTATTAATAATTTTAGTTTATTTTATTTTAAGATGATAAGGATATTCTTGACTAGACTACTAACAATATAATAATAACATCTACAATTGCACTTTTGATGACGTTTCTCTGACAGTAAAATTAGCACCTATAAAATACAAAGAACCTTATTAAAACAGGTAATTGAGTATAATCTGTTGAATAAATAAATTCCGTATTGTCTCCCACCAGAAATATGATGGGCATCTTCCGATAGAAATAAAAGCTGTTCCTGAGGGCTCTGTCATTCCCAGAGGAAATGTTCTCTTCACAGTAGAAAACACAGACCCAGAATGTTACTGGCTTACAAATTGGATTGAGGTGAAATTCTTTTCTTATTCTTCTTTAACAATAAGTGAAGATGTAAAGACCATTGAACTGGGAGTCTAGTTTAGAATTTGCTAATAATAAAGCTAAATGGAGCTCTGGTGGCACAGTGGTTAAGCTGTCAGCTGCTAACCAGAAGGTCAGTGGTTCGAACCTACCAGCTGCTGTGCAGGAGAATGATGTAGCAGTCTGCTTCTGTAAAGATTTAAAGCCTTGGAAGCCCTTATGAGGCAGTTCTACTCTGTCCTATAGGGTCACTATGAGTCATAATTGGCTTAACAGCAGTGAGGTAATGTCTTAAATAATTTACTTAACCTTTCCAGGCCTCAATTTCCTCAGCTATAAAATAACAGTTGAAAATAATCTTTAAGGTTCCTTCTAATGAAATCTAAATTTGATTTGATCTAAATCAAATTAGCAACAATTATTACTTTTAAAGCCCAATTGGCTTCCATCTTACTTGTTGCAATCCTAAATGTAAATTGTCTTAGAACAAAATTAGAAAGAAAAGCACTGGCAAGTTTTTAGTAACTGAAGACATTTTATGGATATTCTGTTTCAGTTAGACTATAGGAATTCTGTTCTAACTTTTAACTAATTTCTTCAGCCTTACCTAATCCGTTTAGGCCCTGGATTCTATCATCTGATAATATTTCTGCCTCTCGTCTAATACATTCAGGAATCATTCATATTGTTTAATTTCTAAGCCTAAAAGGAAAGGGGTACATTATGGTCTCTGGGTTTATTGCAAATCTTTTTTCTTTTCCTTGCCTCAGTATCTAAGCAGTCATATTTCTTAAGAGGAAATACCCTGGAAAGTAACTACAGAAATACCACCTTACTCTCTGAGACATGTTTACTTAATGCTTGTAACTGACTGTTATTAGTTTGTTGGTTAAACTAATTTGTTTTCTATTGTAAAATAATACATTTGAGGTTCATTATAAAGAATGGAAAAATTTTTGAAAAAGAAGTCCAAGATATATTTGAAATATGCTTGTGCTCAGTTGACAAGTTGTTAAAAATTTTCTTACTAGACTCTTGATGGGCCATTAACTAATAATAGGTTAATAAGCACCTATGAAAAAATGTGCAGTTAACTAAAATAAAGATTTAAATAGTCTACTGACTAGGTATTAACTCAAAGTAAAGGAGATGTACTAGTTTTTTTAAGCTGTTGTAGTATTTGTACTGGTAAATATTGATTTTGAGGCCATGGTATTATATAACACAAGAGTAGAAGAGTTCCTAACCTCATCATCTAATCTAACCTTTTATCTAAATTGCCAAAAGATCCCAAACAGATAAATCTCACTTTAAAAATCATGATCTGTGGATAATCTTTTTTTAGTTTTCTGATTGAGGATTTAGTCAATAAGTACTATCCCTTGTGTCTAATTGAACTTCCCAAAAGCAGATATTTATGGAAATAGAAAACTGGTTACCATTATACCTTGCTTCATGTACATTTTCCTTTATCCTCTTCTAGCCTTTTAGGAGCTCTGGTGGTATAGTGGTTAAAGCATTTGGCTGCTAACCAGCATATCGGCAGTTCAAACCCACTGGCCAATCTGTGGGATAAAGATGTGGCAATCTGCTTCCATAAGGATTTACAGCCTTGGAAACCCTGTGACGCAGTTCTACTCTGTCCTTACAGGGTTGCTATGAGTCAGAATTGACTCAACGGCAGAGGGTTTTTTGTCTTGTTTTGTTTTACTAGTCTTTTAAAAAATATTTCAGAGAGCCCGTTTAATAACCATTATTATTTTTGGTCTATTTCAATAAGAAACTGTAAAATAAAAAATATTATATTTAGATATCTTTGAGTGGTAGTTTGTTAGCAAATATATAAATACTATCGTTTTTAATAAAAAAATTATTAAACATAAAATCCAGTATATGAGACTTAGATTTTATCAAAGAATGTTACATAAACCCTTGTTTTTTTTTGTTGCTTGTAACCCAAAACAGAACTTAAATCAATTCTACGTTTTATTCTACTAATATAAAAAAACAAACCACTTGCTGTCAAGTCAGTTCAACTCATGGAGACCTCATGTGTATCAGAGTAGAATGGTGCTTCATAGCTCTTTCTTCTGAGGAGCCTCTGGGTAGACTCCAACCACCAACCTTTCAGTTAGCAGATGGGTGCTTAACCATTTGCACCACCCAGGAATGTCTCTATTGTTATATTGTGTTTTAAATAATTTCAGTCGTTGGCAGATGTTTTTGTATAAGACACAAAAATTTAAGATCTGATAACTGTCCCGCATTATAGCTTGTTATGGATCCTATGTTGTTGGTGTTTTAATTGTGTAACCATATCTCCAGAACAGATTTCTTCATAGTTAGTTTGTATCCTCTTGAGATTTTCGGGGGGGAGTGGAGAAGGTTCATCCTACCCTTATCAGTCCCTAAGTCCCAAATTTAAGGAGCTTTGGTGGCACAACGGTTAAGTGCTTGGCAGCTAATTGAAAGGTTGGTGGTTTGAACCCACCCCCTGGCTCCACAGGACAAAGACCTGGTGATCTGTTCTGTCACATGGTGTCTCTGTGAGTCAGAATCAGTGTGATGGCACTCAACAACAGCAATCCCAGATTTACCACTTTGTATTAGAATTCTGTTACCCAACCCAGCAAACTTGTTTTTTACAAACTTGAAAATGTTCTTCAGATAATCCTTAATTTAAAACTTTTAAATAATAGTACTAAGTAGTACTTCTTCCAGTTTCCCACTGTATGTTCAAAGTTATTAGTAACTATTCTTTGATTGTTACTCACCAGGTAGTTGTTGTTGTTAGGTACTGTCGGGTTGGTTCCAACTCATAGCAACCCTACAGGACAGAGTAGAACTGCCCCATAGGGTTTCCAAGGAGTCTGGTTGATTTTAACTGCTCACCTTTTGGTTAGCAGACGAGCTCTTAACCACTGTGCCACCAGGGCACCAGGTAGTAGTAGACTGAATTTTAAAACCGACTACAGTTACTGAATTGTTTTGTCAGTTTCAGTATTAGTGCTAGAAGAAACCTTAGTTGTCTAATCAGATTTCAAAATTTGTTTTCAGCAACCCTAGGGGTTTTGCAAAAGTGTCTCAGGCTCACCAAAGAGTCTGAGGAGCAAGTACATTGGGCTAAACGTACCCCTCTCTCCCACCAAAAAGCAAAACCCTTCTGCTATTGAAAAGAAAGCATGACTTTAAAAACCATTACATTAATCAAATGCCCTTCTCAGATGAGGAAATGGAGCCCTGAGAGATAAATTGACTATTTTAACAGAGTAGGTCCAATGCCCTTTCTATACAACAGTTTCTCATTCTTTAAAATTCTTTATCATGCACACTAACATTATAATAAACACTTCTTAAATGAAATTTGCAGGTTCATTTGCCTGAAATTTTTATTTTAATTTGTGTGGGAAAATTGCCATTTTGGCAAAGTTTCTAACAGGGCCACTTTATTAGACCTTGGATTAATCCAAACTAACTTGCCTTTTTTTTCCTTACTTACACCTACAGTAATCTTTATGAAAGGGGAGTGATTTTAGTAAGTATAATTTAAGCTGATTTTGTAGGACTGTGGAAAGGAAATGGTGATATGAAGAATCACTGTGTCTAATAGTTATTTCTCTCCTTTCCTGGTATGTTTCGAGGGGTAAGGTTAATCTGCTACCTTTATAATGCAGCAATATCTGAGTTGAATTAAAATGTGAAAGTTGATTGAATTAAATTCAGCAAGTGAATCTTGGTGGAGTACCAGCTATGCACAAAAAAAAAATACTGGGCATAGAATTCAGAGTGATAAGACTAATATTCGGGGTCGGGGGCAGTTCATTCTTAACTAACTACTAATATAAATAAGTGTTTTATTGACTATACAAAAGCTTTCGACTGTGTGGATCATAACATTATGGATAACATTGCAAAAGATGGGAATTCCAGAACATTTAATTGTGCTCCCGAGGCACCTGTACATATATCAAGAGATAGTCATTTGAACAGAACAAGGGAATATCATGCGGTTTAAAGTCAGGGAAGTTGTGCATCGGGGTTATAACTTTTCATCCTACTTATTCAATCTGTATGCTGAGCAAATAATCCAAGAAGCTGGACTATATGAAAAAGAATGAGACATCAGGATTGGAGGAAGACTCATTAACAACCTGCGTTATGCAGATGATACAGTCTTGCTTGCTGAAAGTGAAGAGGACTTGAAACGCTTACTGATGAAGATCAAAGACTACAGCCTTCAGTATGGATTACACCTCAACGTAAAGAAACCATCCTCACAACCGGACCAATAAGCAACATCATGATAAATGGAGAAAAGATTGAAGTTGTCAAGGATTTCACTTTACTTGGATCCACAGGCAACACCCATGGAAGCAGCAGTCAAGAAATCAAACAATGTATTGCATTGGGCAGATCTGCTGCAAAAGACCTGTTTAAAGTGTTAAAAAACAAAGATGTCACATTGAAGACAAGATGTCCCTGACCCAAGCTGTGGTATTTTCAATCGCCTAGTACGCGTTTGAGAGCTGGAAATGAATAAGGAATACCAAAGAAGAATCGATGCCTTTGAATTACGGTGTTGGTGAAGAATATTGACTATACCATGGACTGCCAGAAGAATGAACAAATCTATCTTGGAAGAAGTAAAGCCAGAATGCTCATTAGAAGTGAGGATGGCGAGACTTCGTCTCACATACTTTGGACATGTTATTAGGAGGGATGAATCCCTGGAGAAGGACATCATGCTTGATAGACTAGAGGGTCAGTGAATAAAAGGAAGACCCTCAGCAAGATGGATTGACACAGTGGCTTCAACAATGTGCTCAAGTGTAACAGCAATTGTGATGATAGGGCAGGACTGGGCAGTGTTTCATTCTATTGTACATAGGGTCGCTTGTACGTAGGGTGGCTATGAGTTGAAACCAACTTGACAGCACCTAACAACAACAACAGTGTACGTTGGTAGCAAAAAAAAGTTAATTCCATCT